GCTCTAGTTCTGTGGGTCCCCCGGAGGGGGGCTCCCAGCCTTTGGGTGGCTGGGTATGCTCGGAGCAGAGAGTTGCTAGGAAACCGCCCCACGCTACACTGCTCCTTGCTCTGGTAGCCAGCAAGCGCGCAGCGGCCCGGGGCAGCAGCAGCAGCAGCCGCAGAAGCAGCAACAGCTCCAGCTCCGAGGAGCGTGGGCGGGACATTGGTGAGGCATGAAGTCACTGCGGCCCACACTCGCTCTTTGTTTTGCTCACTCCAGCTCTTTTTCTCCCCCTCGAATCTGATAACTGCCATTCCCATCGTTCTCAAGAATTCCTGGTGCGTAGCGGCGCAAGGGGAATAGCACTTTGAGTTCTCTTTTCCCTCATTCCCCCAGAATCCTGAACCCCAAAGCTCTCATGACCGGTGCAGTGGTGGTCTTTGCTTAGCCGGAGTGGCAGCTGTGAACCCCAACATTTCATCCTCGCGTAGCTTCTTTGTTGAGCCTGCAGCTGCTGCATACAAAGTGGAGTTCAGGGCCCTCTCCCATCACTCAATATGCTGCTCTGGGAGAGAGTGTGTGCACTGCCCACTTTCCCTGAAGCCTTAAGAACTCACCTTGTGTCTGATACCAGATCTGTCCGGGGGCCGGTGTCTCCCCAGCCCTTGGGGAGTTAGACAAGACCTATTCTAGTGGCAGAGATGTTTCACTGTTCCTTTTTGTGGACCCTCAGCCTTGAAAGGGACAGCTTAGCTTTTTTCCCAGGGTCCCTTGGCCCTTTGGCCTTTTGGTTACGGTGGAATTTTTGACCTTAAACATCACCTTCCCGGTAAAGGGAATCAAGAAGTTATAGATAGCAGCAATGGAGTGAGAATCTAAGAGAAGTGATGGATGGGAGGCCCTTTGTTCAGGCTTGCTATTCAGACTTTTGTGTGAGGCTAGAGCATTGCTAAGCTTCACAGCCAACAAAACAGAGCTGCCTCCCAAGGTGCTGTCAGCAATGATGCCACTTTAACCAGAAGGAAGGAACCCAGATCTCTGGGTTTGGGAAAGAGCACCTTTTCCAGTATGATACTGGGTGATGATAGCTCTCAGTTTCCCCTGGGGCAGAAGTTATTTCAGCATCTTGAAGTTTGATGTTTTTACTGGCTTACAGAGCACTGCTTACACTGCTTCTTACAGGCATCAGACCAGTCCAGCCAGGTAAAGGTGAACTGTAGGGGAGTTTCCCTCCTTATTTAATTGTTTCCGTCTTCTTATTTGGAGTAAAGAAAACAAGTAGGAAGCTCCCCCTTCTTAAAAAATTTCTTCTTTCTGTTTTCTAATTGTTAACAGTGAATGGAAAGTACCTGGTTAATAAACCACAGCATCGAAAACTCCCCTTTCTTCAGGTGTGGACTGCATGATGGGCGGGCAATAAAGCCAGGAACCTAGATAGATCTCTTAAGTGCCCTAGATCTCTTAAGGAGATACCTTGGAGAAGCTAAAGGGGCAGTCCAAACCTTAAGGACTGCCGTCAGTCAACATGACTCTAAGCCACGGTTCTCTTAGCAAATAAAACACACCTCAGCCTCATTTCATCTGATTTTTCAAATTTCCTCATAGTTGAAACTTCCATGAACGGGCCTGTAAAGTGGCTGAAATAGGGCAGAACACAAAGCCAGAATAGTCAAGATATGGTTAGAGACTATTCATCTGGGAAGTGTGTTTATTTTCTCGAGATTATGTGACAAACCTAGGCCTTGCAGCAACCCTTGAGACAGTGCATCATTTCAACGAAGAAAAATGAATTAATCTCAATTGTGTGTGTCCAGTCTGCATTGTAGTGCTACTGATAGATTAATGTTTCAGTCACACACTTTTAAATCTAACTGGTGATACTGGATCATAAATGGCAGTTACAACATAAATGAGTCAGAAGCTCTTAACACTGTGAATGCTGAGATATATAACTTTATATTATTAGGTGTTGATATACTTTACATATGAACTCAAACCAACTGTATAGAAAGATGAAAACAAGGAAACAAATCTGTTTGGGGAAAGTTTGAAAGTCATTTAAAAGAAAGCTGGTTTTTTTGGCCATAAAATCCATGGAAATGAATGCCAGGGTTTGGGTAGTTGGTAAAGTCCATGTCACACAAGATAGGTCCTGAATTTTGATCCCCAGAACTCACATAAGAAGCCTGGATGGTAGCCCTTCCCTCCAGTCTCGGGAGGAGGGGGCCAGACAGATCAATGAAGCACCTTGACCAGCCATTCTAGCTGAATCATGAAACCTTGTTTTAAAAAAATAAAAGATGGTGAGAAATTGAGAAAAGCACCCAGTGTCAACCTCCATCCACTGTTCACAGGCCTGCACACATATATGCATATATATGCCACCAAAGTACATGTACCTACACTAACAAGTTATCTCAACTGTTTCCTGTTGCTGTGATATAAATATTCTCACAAATCAACTTAAGAAAGGGCTTGTTAAGCTCTCAATTCCAGGTAACAGTCCTTTATTTCAAGGGGAGTCAAGGTGGCAGACAATGAAACAATGAATCATCCAGAACAGGCTTATGTACTCAGAGCACCCTCTTTACATTCAGTCCAGGGATAGTACATGGTATTGTGCTGCCCATGATAGTACTATCATGTACTATCACCACATCCAGGGTGAGTCTTCCCACATCAATGAATCCAATTAAGAAAATTCCTCATAGGCACAGCCATTGGCATACCCAAAACAGACAATTCCCCATTCTCAGGTGACTCCAGATTGTGTCAAGTTGACAAAACTAACAACTCCCACACAAGTACATACATTACACAGGCACCACCCATACACACACACAAAATTCCCTAATGCCAATTTTTATAAAGTTATTGAATAAGCACAGTATTCCTTGCCACCACATCCTAGCTGGGAGGAGGCTATAAAGCTGGTTATCAAAATAAAATAAGATGCTAGACATTAGACTGTGAGTCTACAGGTTATTTGTGAGGAAGTTATCTGAACATTTTTGGCTTTGAAGATATAATTAACTACTTCTGAAATTCTGCAGCTCATCCTTGGGTTTACTTACAATAAATTTACCAAGTAACTTAGGAGCAAAGTTCATTTGTATTCAATAAATGTCACTGGCCACACAACATGTAATTTCTCTTGTTAAAAAAATGGACGTGATACTATAAAGAAATACAATATTATCTCCATTATGTTACCTGAAGAATTTTAACACAGAAAAATGTTCAAAATGATGACTAATTCCTGTTTTCTATCATGTTCCTCAGTCTTGCTTTGAAATTTCTGGCAGCTAATTTTTCATCATTTGTGGTAATGAGACCAAATGAAATTCACAGATAGTCTAAAATAACATTCTAACTATTCATTCCAACCTTTGAATCATTAGTTAATAAGTCATAAAATTAGATGACTTAAGATTCCTCTCTACTCCTTTAACCTTAGTTTCTTGGCAATGCAGTTTATGGCAATAATGAATAATCTATGTGGGTAGTAGGAGTGACAGACACATCTGAGAGACTTTTATTGAGTGTGTAAACTTGAAACTGATTTTGCCTAAATAATTGACTTTGTACTTTCATCTACAGCCATATTGACACTTCAATATTATGTCTTTTGAAGTTGAGTCTAGAACTATTTGGTAGCTTTTCATTGTGTAGCCAGGCGTTATCTCTAAGCTACTCTCATCTACAGCTCATAAGAAATAAAAAGTGATCTGAAAATTGGACTATGTTATGATGATAATGCATAGCTGCTTCTTCTAATGAAGCACATAAACCATTGAAAAGCACTCCTCTCTAGACTGTTTCGTAGACTTCAGACTACCTACCACATAATTGTCACAGAGTAGTCACAAACTCCAATCCCTTCTCTGTTCCAGGAGATTTTGAATTAGTAGGTCTGTATATGGACCAGCAACTGTCTAAGTAAGTTCTTAAAATGTTTTTTATATGCTCAGGACTATTGAAGCCTCTTGATAATGGCTAAATAGGGAGTTCTCAAAGTCTTCATCGATACTTAGAAACAAAGTCTGTAAGGTGAAATTAAAAAATGAATGAATGTGTAGAGTGGAACTAGTGTCTCTTACAAAGGTAGATAGTGGCTGGCTAA